AGAAACGGGCTTTTCCAAAAAGGGCGAGCACCTTTGGCTTTGGGAAAGGGCTACCCAGGAGCCAAAAAATGCATTTACAATTTTCTCACATTTTCTTGCCCATTCTGTCCGTGCGCAGGATCCAAACCTAAAAGTTTGGGTCATCCTAATAAATGTAGAAGAGAAAAGGACATATGGATACGAGTTAAGAGTAACTCTCCATCACTGTAACATGATACTATATACAGTCAGAAAGTGCAATAACTAGGCACAAAACTGACAGAGTACTGAGACATTCGACGTCCTGACACCTAACTTCAACACATCTCCCTAGCGCTAACCGACAGCCTTCCAACTTGGAAGGTTCAAGGTTATGGAAAGACCAAAGAGAGTTTGAGAGTTACTCTTAACTCGTATCCATATGTCCTTTTCTCTTCTACATTTATTAATTTTATGGCTCAACACCCGAGTTTCATCCTAATAAAGTTATTATTATTATTATTATTATTATTACGAAGTAGTGGGCGAGCTCCGGTGTGGGGAGCAAACCTTTATTATTATTATTATTATTAAAAAAAGTCCAGAAGCAGCCAAGGGTGGTGGGATAGGGCCCCTCAACGTGGCCCTGGAAACGGCACGAGTGGGCGTTCTCTCACAGACTCCAACAGACTAGCCCTTGGCGGATTATGCTGGCATAATATTTGGCATAATCTTGGGATTTCGTCAAACAATTATGCTCCGGCATAATATACGGATTCCAACGTGTAAGGTCAGCATAATCTTTCGGTTTAAACAAAATGTATGCTTAGGGGCATAATACAGCTTTGTCAGAAAGCCTGCAGATGTTTTGTTTTTTAAATCCCCCAGTTACGACTCCTTGTCATAGCCCTTGGCGGATTATGCCGGCATAATATTTGGCATAATCTTGGGATTTCGTCAAAAAATTATGCTCCGGCATAATATACGGATTCCAACGTGTAAGGTCGGCATACAATGTAATCTTTCGGTTTAGACAAAAATTATGCTTAGGGCATGGCCGTGTGTGTATACGTGGTTTCTCAATCCTCTATGTACAGCGTGAATACATAGTGGAACCGAGCATAATTCAGCATAATTCAGCATATTTGTTGGCATAATTGTGGCATACATGTAATCAAAAGCATAATTTGACGATTGGCCGAGCATAGTCCGCCAATGGCTACCACAGACCCAAGTCAATTTTTGAATTTTTTTAGGTTTAGCACGTGCTACGAGGTCGTACCTTTGTTACAACATCCAGTGCTGGGACCTCCACAGCAAGCCATTTCCACAGCGCTGCAAACCAAATCCAGGATACCCTCAAAAATCGGCAAAGAATACCACTCACGTTCCACTACTGCCTAGTACTGAATCCTACCTGACTTCTTGACACGACTCAAACTTGCCAAATTCACTAAATCAACGTCAACTACAGTCGTCCCTCTCTAATCCGGCACTTTATAATCCAGCACCCTCGATAAACCAGCACAATTTTCAGTAGCCAAAATGTCCTCTTCATGTACATTGCAGCAGTAAATCAGATTTGTTAATCCAGCACCCTCCCTAATCCAGCAGATTTTCGTGGCACAAATGGTGCCGGATTATAGAGGGACCACTGTACAATAATCAAGCCACATACATGTACATGTGCATGTACATGTATCTGCAACGTCACGAGGGTGCTGGCAAAAGTCCTGCTGTGCAGCCCAATACATGGCTAAAAAACGTGATTTTTTGGACTTGGAGCAAATTTAATTTCTGCACACTTTCGCGTGTTTCCATGATACGACAAGTAAGTAGTTAGTTGCACACGGTGTGCCCAGATTCCCATACAGTGCTGCCCAAAAATGACATCGTGCAACAAAAAAATCTTTCCTTGCAAGGGCACATTTTCGGCCATAACTCTTGAACGGCTGGTCAGATCGAGACAAAACTTTCAGAGATTTTGCAGCTATTCATGCTCTTTCAACTGATGTAGCACTCGATATGAATTTGCACATTCGATTTTTCAGGGATTTTACGACCAGGCTGCCCCCTTAATCTCCTGCTGGCAGCCACATATTGTCCGTACTTAAGCCGACGGCGGTAATCGCGCAAGTTGGCGAGTGTCGCCAATGGCATCCAGCACTGGGTCTCTACCAGTCAGCTGCAGACTGCCAACTAGGCATTGGCGGATAATGCTCGAAAAGGTGGCAGATTCTGCTCGAAAAGCAGTAAAATTGGCAGAACCATACAAACCTTATGGTGGGCAATTCCTCGAATTCTGCTGCATTTCTTTATCCACATACCAAACATGCATGAAACTTACCAGAAAAAGTACCGAATTCTGCCAATTTTTCTGCTGGCATTATCCGTATATGCCTACTGCCAAGCACATGTGCAATTGCCAGTGTGGATACGCCATCATGAACTATGGACGACACTGGACCAGGGGACAACGCTGCACGAGTGCCATCTGCCGGGTCGCCCGCCACAGCCGGCACCGAACCAGGCGATAACGCGGCACACGTCCCATCCACCGGGTCCCCCGCAGCATGCACACCGTCCACCAGCCCTCGATGCAGATCCGGAGGGCTCTCATAGGTTCCGGTAAGTAGGAGATGCACGAGTGACTTGGTCGCTCGGATAGAAACAGCCAGTTCTACCGGCGCGGTGTTCTCGAGAACCGGGATAGCCAGACCACCAAATCGCAGGTTGAACACCATCCCCCAACAGGGCCAGCAATAGGCACTCCTTCAGCTTCCTATCGAGCTCAGTCAACAGCCCAGGCACGCACGGTTAGCAGCGCAGATGATAAGCCCAGATCACAGCCAAGCCTTTGGTGAATACAGCAAAGGCAACCTGCAGTTGGGTCAGTGCCATGCCAGAGAGGTAATCTAAGGCCTTCTTCCACAGTTCTGGTTCTCTGCGGGATGCAGCCCGATGGAACTGCAACCAGTCACCGAAGTGTTCCATGAGGCGTTGTTCACCGCGAAGGACCTCTGAACATGACCATGCAATCAATCCTAGTTCGTCCTGGAATCGACTGTAACGTTTACATACCTTAGTCATATCTCACGCGGTTGCAGAGTTACTCTGAGTCAGGACACTAATTTCAATCCACCAGCCTGCGCCTTTACATCGCCATTCTGGGCCAGTTCAGAATCCACTGCATCATTACTTTAGCAAGACGTTTCAGAGACTTCTTGTTTACGTACAGTGAAAAACAGCTACGGTGATACTTTCGCTATACCATCCTTATTTTCAAGTTCCTTCAATATTCTAGCGTGGCTGCGTGTACGAGCAGCATCGAGCAGACTAAACTCTGCCTCGTATGTGGCGCACTGAGTAAATTTCTCTGCCAAGCGTCTGTTCTTCGCGTCAGGTTTATAATCCTGGCACACCACACACTTGCTCAGATCGTGCCTGTTGCGCTTCGGGTCTGCCTGCCTGATTCGGCTCCTAAACACGCTACAAATTGTTTGTGTGTGTAGAGCAAGAAACTAGTAGTAGTACATGAGAAAAACATTACATTGTAATGTTTTTCTTCAAACGTCAAAGGCTTCTTGACGGACTCTGTATGCAGAAACCCGCTACACCCTAGGATGACTGGGTTCGGGTACATGTACAATTTCCGTATGCAGCGGAAGATCGCCATATATAACAAACGGACAACTGTACAGACTTGCCGCTACTTTTTAAGTTTTATCGTCTTCAGCAGCCACAACTTATTAGTCAGAATCAGCTCTAACAAATTATTTGTGAGCTCCTACTTGCCACGAGACTTCTAAAAATCAATATGACTGTTTTTCGGAATGGGACCCCGCACTACACCTCCATAAGACGTAACGACCAAGAAAGGACGAGATGGTGGAGCACTCTGGCGGTACTTTACGGTAGCAGTCGACGCAACGATTTCGTTCCGTTCGGTCTTACTTTGTTGTCGTGTAAAGTAAGTTGGTAACATGTGTCCGATTATCGTATTGCAAAGACGTATCTATCAGTTTGAACAACACACATGACCACCTACAGTCTAGGTAACAACAAAGAAATGCTGGGGCTAGTCAAAATCCGAGCCCTCTCGTCGCAACAGTAGAATGAGGGATTTTGACTAGCCCCAGCATTTCTTAGAAACAGTTTCGTAGTTTACAGGGGACAGCGTGCTTTTGGCTGGAGCAGAGCAAGGCCACAACAAATTAAATAATAATAATAATAATAATTTGATAACCGCAATCAATAAAACTAGCTGAACCGACATTTGTGTACTTTATTCATGCAATGTAAAAACGGTGGAGACGATGTGCAATAAAACGATGAAAATATGAAGAACTGGTGTAGGGAAAAAATATGGATTCAAACAAGTTTTTTTTCCCTACACCAGTTCTTCATATTTTCATCGTTTTATTGCACATCGTCTCCACCGTTTTTACATTGCATGAATAAAGTACACAAATGTCGGTTCAGCTAGTTATATTGATTGCGGTTATCAAAATAATTATTGTCTCCTCGCCGTGTGTTTAAATAATAATAATAATGACAGTTCGCACATCACTCATTGCATGAGGTCAACGCACCTGTTGACAATTTCGAGCCAAGCAGCTCTATCAGAAGCAGATTGCACAGCATCCAGAAGGCCACAAAAAAAATTCACGGTTCGCGTGAGACTCGGTTTCTCCCGAGGCCGAGTTTTCCGCATCCGTAGGAACGCCACCACCCTTCAAGGATCAAGGCGCAGAGGCAGCTCCTTGGACCTAAAGCGGTGGGAGGTGAGTAGATCAGCTCACCAGCATGGGGTCAAAGACCGAAAATACCATTCACTGCATCCATGTTTTCCTCAATGCCACAAGCCATCCAGTAAATACGATGCATACAGTAAAACCTGTCAAGGCGACCACCTGTCCAAGAAGACCACCTGTCCAAGAAGACCACTGAAGCCAGGATCAAGGGATGCTATTTCCAGTCATATGACCCTGGATAAGGAGAACACCTGGTAACAGAGACCACATTTCCCTTCAGCGGTCGTCTAACGGTCTTAGACAGGTTTCACTGTAATTCAGCAACGTGGAGGGATAAACCAGAAAAATTACAGGTCAATCCAGAATATGCGGGAGAATCAGCTGGTAATTTCGAAGCCATAACCAAGCAAGCATTCTCCAACATAATCCATGCAGCAGTATAATAATAATAATAATAATAGTTACAGTTTGCATGTCACTCATGGAAGGATCCATGGGCTTAACGCATCTGTCAACGAAATCCAGGCAGAAGAGCCAACAAAAGGCATCGCATTATTGTTAGAACGTATCGCAGTAAGAACAACTACGCAAGCGCAGCCCATTTTTCCACAAGCATCAGCCATTTTTTCTAGAGCCAGTTCAAAACAGTCAGAAATATCAATATTGGCGTGCTTTAGATCATTTTTAATATTGTCAATCCATCTGAGATGGGGTTGGCCGCGTGGGCGCTTGATGTCCCGGGTATGAATTCCCATCTCCAGTGCTTGTGTATGCAGCATGTTCAAAGTATAATTCAATATATTCAAATCATACTCCAGTCTAAGCCGACCCATAATAAAATCAATATCGAAGCCATAACCAAGCAAACATTCTCCAACGTGATCCATGCTGCATGTTCAATGTATAATGTATAATTCAATATAATTATTCAAATCATACTCCAGTGTAAGCCGACCCCTAATAAAATCAAAAATTGGAGAGCGTAAGTTGTCACTCGGCCTCGCATTTCCACTAGATCCGATTAATCTAGAATGGCGAAGCCAGTACCCATCAGAACAGATATGCACGAACAGATCTATAGAGAAAAGGTGATGACGTTGACCGCACCACCACCAGTTATGTCAAGCTCAGCTTGCTTAGTTAGCGCGGTCACTCTAGCTGTCGCAAAGCACCTAATGGACTACCTATTTCATGTTCACACCAGCTCCAATTTCACATGCACACCCGGGTCTGGCTTGACGATCATTGCCATTACCCAGGCAGGCTGTTTGGCGTGAGGGTCTGGCGTAAAGCGGAACTTGGACAGTATCATGGCCATCACCACCTTCATCTCATCCATGGCAAAGTGCTTGCCAATACACGCGCGTGGACCGCAGCTGAACGGGATGAAGGCATAGGAGCTCCGTGTGCTGCCTTGATCTGGTGAGAATCGATCAGGGTTGAACGTGTCCGGGTCATCCCAAACTTGTTTGCTCATGTGCACTCCTAGCATGTTGAGTTGAAAGCCAGTACCGGTAGGTAGCCTAACACCATCCACCTGACTTGCATGCTTGCTTGTCTTCACCACGAACGGGACAACATTGCTCAAGCGCAGCACCTCCTGAATGGTTTGTGTCACGTACTCCAGGTCAGCCAGGTGCCCATGAGCAAAGTTGTCCAAACCACCACATCTCTCCAAGACGGCTAGTACTTCTTTACGGCAGCGTTCTTGGACATCACGGTTTAGACTGAGATAGTGTATGATCCACTGGAAGGCCGAGGCCGTAGTGTCGTGGCCCGCAAAGAGGAACGTTTCGACATGCTCACAGATCTCCGTGTCGCTATATCCCACACCATCTTCATCTCTTGCCATCAGTAGAATGTCGAGCATATCTCGGTGCCGTTTGTTTCCAGCATCATTTTCACCTTCAGCATTCTGAAGACATGCCCGTCTGTCTCGGATAAGTTGTTCACTGAACTTGTGTGTTTCCGCTTGCAACTTCTGGAAGCGATGACCAGTTGGAGAATGAAGGAATATGAAATCCGAGTAGAACCAAGGTTGCTTGAAACGCTTGAAGATAATCTCAACGATGCCTCTCAATGCAGCAGCATAGCGCAAGGCAGGGGCGTTCGGATCGCTTTCCGTTTGGCAGTTGGTCTCCTTACCCATAGCACACCGCAGGATGATGTCGAACGTCAGCATTGGAAAATACTGCGACACATCCACACTCTTGTGGAGCTGCTCCTCCCAGAGATCAAGCATGATGAATGCTGCTTCCTTGTAGAAATTCACATACTCGCGGCGCATGTCCGGCGAAAACACGTTAGAAATCAATTTGTGATCCCGGGCCCACCGCTTACCGTCCGTGAACACGAGGCCATTTCCGAGCCAAACGCGGAAAACTCTTGAAGGTATAGCATGTTTTTCCGACTTGATTCTCATGACATCTGCAATGGTGTCCGGATGGCACACTGAGACTGAGGTCGCAAAAGGTCCCAATTGCCGTAAGAATATACGCGGCAGTTTTCGAGCATATCCAACATAGGTGTCCCATGCGAGACGGTGGTCCGCTACCAGGTGTCCCCGAAACCAGTGGGGCTTGCACGGCTCCGGTATTCGCTGCCTCAGAAAGCGCCGATGAAGCCACCATGTAACCACGATATGCAGAAACTTTGCCAGAAACAATGAAAGTCCAGCGATAGCGATGAGGCTGGGTAAGTTTACGTCCATAGTACTGGAGAGCGTTCAAAGCCTTTTCATGCCGCTGCCGAATGACTGCAACCAGTTTACTGAGCACCTTTATTCTTGGAGAGTCAGACTACCTGACCTACACATATCAACGACTTGTTTACAATTATTAGTTTGTGAATAATGTTCTGTTGTTTGCGATTATTTTCTGTTTTCCACAAAACTGAATATTTTTACCAAGATTAGGCATGGGGCCGGGTCCAGCGCCGGGATGGCGTCAGCCAGAGCTGTCAGTGTCAGTGATTCTGAGACTGTGACTGTGAGAGTGACAGTCAGTGAATAGAAGAGAAGTCTGTGAAGCCTGAGCGCGAGGTGAGGCCAAGGCGGTAGACCAGGACGGCAGGAGTACATGTAGTGACAGTCAGGGAGTCGTAAAAGAGCTTTTACGACTCCCTGGTGACAGCCTTTTATTTCTTCACGACTAGACTCCCTTGTGAAGAATTCTAATGTCTTTGTACCTCGAACGATTCTTCACATTCTGTGTCACACTTTGTGAAGAATTATTTCTGCATTGACAAGTATCCTCCCCAAAGCCCACACAACATCCAAATCACTTTTCTTATTCAAAACCTCCCTTTTATGGAATTATCTCCCACCCACATTGACTTCGGAATCTTCTGTCCATGTATGCAAGAAAGAGCTGCGCAAATATTCCTGTAAGTATTCAGCCTTTCAGGTCTACTCGCTGGCATGCCGCTACCCTGTTCATCGTAGTCCCCCCCCCCCACCCCTTTCCCAATCTGTACTCTCTTATCATCTTTCAATGCGACGGACCCCACGATAGGCCGTCATGTACATTACTTGTAACACCCAAAACGCAAAAGGCACAACGGAGGTTTACAGATTTGTCGCATCTTAGAGTTTCTTGCTCAATGCAATCATCAGGCGACTATTACATGTTCAATGGGACTTGGCATCAGTTCTTTCCGGTATCTTGCTGGCGTCGGTAATGGTATGTTCCTCGCTGAATAGTTCATGTCCAGTTTCCGTATCCCGTCCATTGCCACTGACATCCGGGAGAGTACTCAACCTGAAAGGGAGCGGTCCTACAATGACTTGTAACACCGACACCGGCCGCACCTTCTACCCTCTTTTGCATGCACTATTATTATTATTATTATTATGGGGGTGGCTTTATTGGTTTTGTGTTTGTATTATGCAGCATCCCGGGTCATTTAAGACCATGGGGAGTACTGCTGTTGTACGTGAAGAAAGTATAATAAGGGAGACTGAGAAAAAAGAAAGAAAAAAGAGAGAAATACTGTGAACAGCAAATCTACAATGATGCATGTACAATCTATTATAGAACTAATCTGCGAGAATGAGACTTAACACAAGCAGGTACAGTAATAGCAAGATAGCTAAATCAGAAAACAAAATCCGTTGAAAAGTAACCATCATCAAATCTGAAATCGAGCCCTTCAGCGACACAATAGCACTGAAGGCAGCAATATAATTCTTCTCATTCAACATCAGTGAAGCACCGTCAAAACCGGTGAATGGGGGCTGATGGTATTATTGTTGTCTTTGTTATTGGCAAGTGATTAATATTACGATCAAAATTATTTTCTGCAAATAGGTGCTTCAACTAATAGTTCGAACCATGGGCATTCGCAAACCAATGTAACTTATTAGAGTGTAATTATTATTTCATCTGAGTTATTGACGCGTTATTATTATTATTATTATTATTGAAACTCGGATGTTGAGCCATAAATAAATGTGGAAGAGAAAAAAGACATATGGATACGAGTTAAGAGTAACTCTCCATCACTGTAACATGATACTATATACAGTCAGAAAGTGCAATAACTAGGCACAAAACTGACAGAGTACTGAAACATTCGACGTCCTGACACCTAGCTTCAACACATCTCCGTAGCGCTAACCGACAGCCTTCCAACTTGGAAGGTTCAAGGTTATGGAAAGACCAAATTATTATTATTATTATTATTATTATTATTATATGCACGTACGCGTTGCTGGCGCCCCCATTGGATGGAGGTTGCCCAGGTTCGCATGTGCCAAACTGATTATGCCAACGCCTCATGACGAAAACATACAGAGAGAAACAACTCGTGGGGGAAAAAAAAGAAGCACCACTAATACTATACTCGAACTCCGCGCTGTATTCATGTTCCCACACGCCAGGTTGACCTTAGCTAGTACACTGTAGACATTTTGATGCATTTCACTTTCAACCGCCCATGTATTTACAATGTATCTACACATATATAATTATACCATTACATAACCCTAACAGCTGTACATGCATCGTAAATACATCCTAGTGCCCCTTTCAACAGTTTTCTTCCTTGTATTTTTGCACACCTACACGATGTGTGTACACCCTTCTATCCAGTTCTTCCTCTACATTTATTCCTCTTGCACTGGAGCCATGTCCCGTCCTTTCCCCTGCCCACACCTGTACCTAGTTTGACCTTTCTTCTTACTTCTCTCAGCTTTACATATCCCTTGCCATAGGCTAGCCTTACTTACAGTTTCTCACCCGATATGAGCTGCTGCATGTCTAGTTTCCTACAGATTAGTCCCCTGCAGATTAGTTTCCTGCTAGATTCTAACTATTACCTGAGAACCCACTTCTCTCTTTCCCTCTTTCTCTCTCCTCTCTCTCTCTCTCTCTCTCTCTCTCTCTCTCTCTCTCTCTCTCTCTCTCTCTCTCTCTCTCTCTCTCTCTCTCTCTCTCTCTTCTCTCTCTCTCTCTCTCTTCTCTCTCTCTCTCCTCTCTCTCTCTCTTTCTCTCTCTCTCTCTCTCTCCTCTCTCCCCTCTCTCTCTCTCTCTCTCTCTCTCTCTCTCTCTCTCTCTCTCTCTTCTCTCTCTCTCTCTCTCTCTCTCTCTCTCTCTCTCTCTCTCTTTCTTTCCCTCTCTCTCTCTCTCTCTCTCTCTCTCTCTCTCTCTCTCTCTCTCTCTCTCTCTCTCTCCCTCTCTCTCTCTCCCTCTTTCTCTCTCTCTCCCTCTCTCTCCCTCTCTCTCTTCTCTCTCTCTCTCTCTCTCTCTCTCTCTCTCTCTCTCTCCCTCTTTCTCTCTCTCCCTCCTCTCTCTCTCTCTCTCTCTCTCTCTCTCTCTCTCTTTCTCTCTCTCTCTCTCTCCCTCTTTCTCTCTCTCTCCCTCTCTCTCCCTCTCTCTCTCTCTCTCTCTCTCTCTCTCTCTCTCTCTCTCTCTCTCTCTCTCTCTCTTCTCTCTCTCTCTCTCTCTCTCTCTCTCTCTCCCTCTTTCTCTCTCTCTCCCTCTCTCTCCCTCTCTCTCTCTCTCTCTCTCTCTCTCTCTCTCTCTCTCTCTCTCTCTCTCTTTCCTTCTCTCTCTCTCTCTCTCTCTCTCTCTCTCTCTCTCTCTCTCTCTCTCTCTCTCTCTCTCTCTCTCTCTCTCTCTCTCCCTCTTTCTCTCTCTCTCCCTCTCTCTCCCTCTCTCTCTCCCTCTCTCTCTCTCTCTCTCTCTCTCTCTATTTCTTTCTCTCTCTCTCTCTCTCTCTCTCTCTCTCTCTCTCTCTCTCTCTCTCTCTCTCTCTCTCTCTCTCTGCTGCTGCGAAGCCCGCCGCCGTGCAGCCCAATACGTAGCTCAAAAGCGTGATTTTTTTACTTGGAGCAAAATTCTGCACACTTTCGCGTGTTTCCATGATACGACAAGTACATCACAAGCACGTTCCCCCCTGCACTCCACCTTTGGAGCTGAAGCACTCCAGGAGACAGATACCCTGAAGCTGCTGGGAGTCATGCTCGACCCTACTCTCTCCTACAGAGCGCACACTCGCAGTGTTGCACTGCGCGCCTCCCAAAGGCTGGGTTTCCTACGAAAGGCAGCACCCATCCTGGACGACCATGGTCGAGTGACGGTCTACAAGGGGTTCGTGCGACCTCTACTTGAATATGCCCCACTGGCCTGGTCGAGCGCAGCCGCAACTAACATGGCCCAGCTGGACAAGGTTCAGCAACGTGCCCTGCATTTCCTGGGACCTGGAACCATCCTCCAAAGTCTTCAGTTTCGTCGGATGGTGGCAGCCCTGTCATACTTGTTCAAGCTGCACTACATTCCAGGGCCTCCCCAGGTAAAGGCCATGCTGCCACCAACCAAGGCTTGAAGCCCCCTACCGTAGCTAGCATGTGCACACGGCAAAAACGTCAGACGCACCATGCCTTTCAGCTGAAGTGGACACCCCCTCGCACAGCCCCTGACTACCTCCTGCGATCCTTTCCCTTCTTCGCCATCACACCCTGGAACAACCTGCCTGCAGACCTCCTGCTTCACGAACCTCATTCAAGACGCCTCCCAACCTTCAAGGTCAACGTATGCAAGGATCTAATCCGAAAGAGATGGCTGTGGTCCACACAGTACCTGTGACGGTGATATTGAGACCCATTTAGTATTTACCTCTCTACTAGTACTTGCTTGTTATGAGTATTGTTCTCTTTCTTCTTTTTCCCTTCTGGTTTAGTCATTACACGTATTTATATTATTTGGTGCAATACTAGCGCCCCTTTCTCGCACCAAATCATTATTTTTGCTACCTGACCATGCACCCCCCCCCCTTTTTTTCGATGCCAGGTTGCAACGCCAACGCCGAGACCCCTGGTCGGTCGAGTTGCTCCCTGTACATCGGCACGTCGCCCCTACATCCCCTGTGTCTTGTCTTGTGTTTGTCTCCACATGTCTCTTTGTAGGGCTGTGTTCCCAATAAATAAAAAATAAAAAACAAAAAACGGTCTGCTCACATTCAAATACAGTGCTGCCAACAAATGACAGCGTGCAACAAAAAAATCTTTCCTTGCAAGGGCACATTTTAGGCCATAACTCTTGAACGGCTGGTCTGATCGGGACACAATTTTCAGAGAATTTGCAGCTATTCAAGCTCTTTCAACTGACGTAGCACTCAATATGAATTTACAAATTCAATTTTTCAGCGAATTTTGGGTAGTCTGCCACCTTAAAAGCCACATACATTGTATATGTACATGTACGTGACATTAGGCACCGGCGGATTATGCCGGCATAATTATTGGCATAATTTGGTGGTTGAAAATTTGGAGCATAATTTGGCATCCGTTCGGAGGTTGGAGCATAAACTACATGACTGTACCACAGTTCTAGTATGTAGGCTACACAATTC